TCTACTTCGGCGGCCTGGGGTTCACAGGTTCAGATCCTGGGCACAGACCCACACACCACTCATCAAGCCATGCTGTGGCAGTGTCCCACATACAAAATAGAGGAAGATTGGCACAGATGTTAGCTCAGGGACAATCTTCCTCAAGCAAAAATAGAAAGGTTGGCAACAGATGTTAGCTCAGGGCTAACCTTCCTCATCAAAAAAATAGGGTGGGGGGGAGGAGGGCAATGGCATTTTCAGTAATTATGCCGAGTTTCTTACTCTGGTAAGTAAAAGCAGTCCCAAATCCTGCCCAGGAAATCATTTACTGTGGACTTATCAGATCCAAGAACAACGCCTCTGCTCCACTGTCTGGTAGACCCAGGTCCGCTGAACCCTCCCTGCACGTATGTTGCGCGCTACACGGACTAGGGAAGCAAGTCAGCAACCCCCTTGTACAGGGTGGAGGACTGGTGGAGGACTGGGATCCAGGCCAAGTTGAGTTTTGAACAGACTCAATCCTGGATTGAAGGGCCCTCTAGTAGTCAGACTAGAAACTCAGTCTCCCAGGTAGTGCAGAGGCCTGTGGGGAAGAGGAGTGTCTTTGAGAGTCGTTTCAGCAGCATTAAGATGTGGCTAACTACTTAGCTTCCTCCTCTGGACCCTTCTCCAAGGACACAGGGGGCTGTGGAGATTTGCTGGCCAGGCAGTGGGGAAAATTACTGGCCTCCATCTCCAAAAGGAATCCTCCCACCCAGGACCTCCTTGCATTAGCTCTCTACAGGGGTCTCCTTAATGCATGCTCTAAAATCAGTTATTTTTGTTTCCTGCACCCCTATGTTCTCTCTGCAACCTCCTTAGTGATTTGGATTGCTTATCAGCCCACCAGCCTCTCTGCTTTTCTCATGTATCTCCTTACCTAGCAATCTCTTTGTTCAAGACCCAGAGCCATAATGTACTGCCCAAGGGAAGCTAAGAAGGAAGTAGACAGTGGTGCTCTTCCGCCCTTTCATTCATGCTGAGACCCGGGGCACCTTACAGGGAAGACCCTTTTGGGTGGGGCCTAAATCAGTCTCAAAGGATTAACCCATCCCTTACTCCCTGGCAGAAGCAGCTAAGTTAAGGATGCCCCCCTCATGTAAGATCCCATCAACTTTTCCAGCATTCTCTGAATTAAGGTCATTTGGTCACGAGTTAACCCTGATGCCCAGGATTTTCATACAACCATACTATAATGCCAAAGTGCCTCAAAGCAGCTGTGACCTCAGTAGGGATGTTCCACTTTACATTCAGTGTCTCGAGGAAGTCTCTTTGTGGCTATGTGAATCTGATTTCCAGAGCATCCAAGTCAACCACAGGGCAGGCACATTTGCTCTCTCCCCATTGGTCAGACTAGCCATTCATTCAGCAAAAGGGAATATGGCAGTAAACCGCAAAGGTTGGCCATTCAGTGTCACTTACCTCATGGGTGTAGCTTCTTCGTCATGTAAGCAGTTCACGCCTCAAGGGACTCCCGTGACCCTTGCTGGAAGTCCAACTCCCTGTAAGTGTACTGAAGCTGCTCAGGCTGTAACCCGTTTCTCACCCCCACCAAGCCCCCTGGGTGGTACACTGCACAAGGACAGGTTTCAAATCTAAGAGATTAGGTTGCATCTACTGTTCCAATGGCACTTGGGACCAAGGGCTCTTTTCTCCAAACTTCGTTTTCCTTAGAGGTCACGTGGCTGGCTGACTTGAAAGGGAGTGTCAAGGGATCAAACTGTCTCAACTGGCCTTATGAGGACTTCCGGGGCCTTTGTGGCACACGTCATGGCCATAACTAAGCATCACAACAATATATTCAACCAGTGGTTTCAGCTCAGCCAGGTTTCCCACCGCCAGCCCTAGGGGGGATGTCGTCCATCCCTGGTCTGGCTTAGTTGACCCTTTTTGTAGTTTCCAAAAGGCGAGAGCTGGAGTAAGTGGAGTTTGCCTCATGTTGGGCACCATCTGTGAAGCCGTGGGTGAAAGACAACACCACACCATGCAAAAGGCAAAGGTTTTAATGAGGGAAAACTGCCAGCAAGGGTCAGCAACAGGATGCACACGGATGCCCATTCTCGCATGCAGGGAGCGATGCAAAGGCCAGGGCACTCTGGCTGCACCTTGGAGCTGTAGGCCAGGGGAAGGGTATTCCTTCGCCGGGAGTGTACCTTTCCAGAGGGCAAGCCCGACAGCGGCCTTGCATGCGGAGGATCAAGTCAGGGCTTAAATGCCAGCTGTCAGGGGAGCTGTCTGGGAACACAGGCTACTAGCACCTGTGACCTTGTGGGAAGCTGGATTTGGGTGCACTCGCTCCTGCTAGCTGGTTACCAGGCAACTTGACAGTGACCCCTGGAGTCATGGGGTAATCTTGTCTCTCCCTCCACACTTTTTTTTTTTAATTTTATTTATTTTTCCCCCAAAGCCCCAGTAGATAGTTGTATGTCATAGTTGCACATCCTTCTAGTTGTTGTATGTGGGACGCAGCCTCAGCATGGCCAGAGAAGCGGTGTGTCGGTGCGCCCCCGGGACCCGAACCCGGGCTGCCAGCATCGGAGTGCACGCACTTAACCGCTAAGCCACGGGGCCGGCCCGCTCCACACTTCTTTAAGTGTAAATCTGATTGTTTAAAATCTTTCAAAGGCTCCCTAAAGTCCAACCTCTAACGTGGCGCCGTAGGCCCTCCTTGACAGTATCTCGTTTCACGTCTCTGCCTCAGATGCCATGTCCTAGCCTCACTGAACTCTCCCAAGTTTCCCAAATATACTTTTTCATGCCTAAATCAATGCCCCCAGCCCCTTTTCTCTTGGCTAACTCCTCTAATCTGCCCTCCATCTTAGGCAAGATTTCACTGCACCTGAGAAGCCCTTGACTGACTCCACGCCACCGATTTGGATTGTTTCTCCTTTGTGCTCCACCTCACCCCGAGCATCTTAGTACTGACCATACCATATACTGGAACTGCCCATTGACTCATCCAGCTCTCCCACTCAACACTGAGCTTCTTGAAGGACTGAAATATTATCTTTGTATCGCCAAGAAGCTTGTGAAGTGCCTGCTATACAGTGAATGTTCAGTAAATATTTAACGAGAACCAGATGAAATCAGGTGGCTGGTGCGTTAGCACTTACTCTGTAGCTTTCTCCACATAAAACATGAATATCTTATTAATGCATATACAGGTTTGGAGTTAGGATACCTTAGCAACCATTTATGTAACCCATGAAGAAACCGAAACCTGGAGAGGTGAGACGACTTATCCAGTTATCACAGAGATACTCTATGCCCTGGTCAAGTGTAGAATCTACCTCCCAATTCCCCCTTTTCCACAGCGTAACTCCTCATGTCCCTTCCTATCGTGTAGTATCTATGTTGCACTTGCAACTTTTAATGATGTATATTCCTTGAGCACCAGTACTCTGTTCTTTGCTGCAATATCTTACAGATTTTAATCTTCAGGGAAATCTGACAAAGACGTCTTAGTATTTACCAAAAGAACTTTATACTTGAAAAAATAACACCAGAATTCTTTTTTCCTCTTAGCATAAGCCACGTAAGTTCTGTATGATACTGAATGATGATAATATACCCCAATTCCCCAGATTCCATGTAACCATCTTCTGTTGACACTTAATCTTCCTTCCCATTTTCAACCTACCCTTGTAATCAAGTGTATGGTATACATATATATAAATTGGTGGGAAGACCTTGAAGCACTCAATTTTGAAGCTTAGCCTTTAATCATTTACCGAGTGCAACTTGAAAAGACTTTTAGTGCCTCTCCCACTAACATAAAACTCTTTAGCATAAAAAAATGGATTTCTCCCTGTTTATTCATGGAAACTTCTGAGAGAGGCATGCAAAGAAAATTTCTAAACAGTCTCAAATAAAATTTGTAAACAGCCCTAAATAAACACACAGAGGAAAAGATGCCCAAGATTTAAATACTGTTAACTGTTAAGCCTTCTGAGCAATCAAGACCAGCACCTGATAATGGCTATCTCAGAATAACTCGTTATCAGAGGCATCAGAGGGTCATGAGGCAAAGATTCTGTTTATGGTCATGAAACAAACTGGCTCAATAGGGATCAAATCAGTATACTGACTCTAAGACACTATATTCCTAATCACCAGGAGCTCTAAGATCATGATCATGAGAGAAATGCCTGGGTGAGCCACAGCGAGTCTCAAGTTCACTTGCTGCCAACAGAATGTGCGTGTGTAGCACTGAAAACTACCATAAAACTAGGAAAACTCAACCACATTACTCGCTTCTACCTACCACCTCTAACGGACTCTGCTCAGCTCTTTGGGTTCTGGAAGAGCCCAGAACTAGGCAGAATGGGTAGCAGAGAACCAGAAAAGTACCAGCACGAAAAACCAGAAAAGCAGAAGACAAAGATGAATTTTTCTGGAAAAAAACACCCATCAATGTAGAGCAGAATGTACTGAATCATTGGATCATTTTGGATTCTAACACTGGGTAGAACTTTGACACTGTGACCTCTCCATTTCTACCCTTTACTTCCAGGCTGTGCCCAAGTTCCTTGAAGTGACCACAACAGCTAATTTAGGTGCATTCTACCTACAAACCTGTCATTTATTTTATTACTGAGATACTGACATCAAAAGTGTTTTTTTCTTAAGTACATGGACACACTTAATATTTTCCAAACAGCAGGGTATGTTTATGTGTGCACAGACAGGAGTATGTGTTTAATATGGTTTAGTGGCATCCTATGTAATAAATGTGTTGAAATCTTATAACTGGGAACATGGATAATTATTTTCAAATATCTAAGGTTTTGCCTTTTAAGGGTACATAAAAGATTATTTGCAAGGCCTATATGCTTTGCATGATAAATAACTTTTCCCCCACATATCATTAATTTTTGTTATATTTAGAAATTTAAGACCAGGAGCAAACATCTGTCAGACTAATTTTTTGCTTTTTCATAAGTGTAACTTTTTAATAAAAATTTACATCTAGATAAACAATCTTCAGATTTTTGAAACTTTAATAAGATTTTAAAAACATCATGACTTCCAACTGAAAAACATACACGTTCAGCACACAAATATTGTAATATGAATCAACTCCAACTCCATTTGAAAACATGTGAATCAAATTACAGTTTTAGAAGTTAGTAATTCACATTTAAGCAAGTTAGCGCCTTGCTGAATTCAGCCTTTGTAAAAAAAGAGACTTAGTGCATATTGTAATGGCACAAAGTGCTTTTGTACCATTTTGTTGATTTTTTTTCACCTTATTAAACAAGATCAAGTTCTTGAAAGTTGGTAGATAGCGGCTAACTTCCTATGACACGTGAAATTTCCAATGGTAACAGTTACATTTTGTAACAGAACATTTTCTATAGATTTCTTTTCCTATCTTAAAATTTTAAAAGCAATCATTTGTAAGGATTGCATCAACATCAATTTAGCAGAGGAAGATCAAACTTTATTGAAACTGCTTGCATACAAAATATATTGCACTATAACCAAACAAATGTCAACATAAAATCCAATCTGTTGTCGCTAATATGTACAGAGAATATTGCCCAAGAGCAGTTACATTACAAGGTCATTCTACCTTGGTTAATTATCTACAGTATTTTAAACCAAACAGCTTACAGATGATGTGTGCAAGGTACCAATTTCTGTTTTCAAATACTATACATTCCCAGAATAAATAACTAGAAATTAACATTAATGTTTGGCAATACTTTTAAAAGACTTTTTAATATTCTTGAAATCATGTGCAGCTTGTTGCCATTTTTATATGCTTATTTGTATGCAAGGAAAAGTAACTGTAAAATGAAAATTCAAAGAAACAAACTCACAAAATACATCAGAGGCAGAACTTCGGTTTGTACGGCTCTGTACAGATTCAGTGGTACCCCTACTTGGAGTTATTTTTTAAGAAAAATATAACATCTTAGAGTGAAGGTCCTTCACATATTTTTCCTCGGTAAATTTCATTCATAAAAAAAAAAAAAAAAGACAAAACCAAAACCAAAACCCAACATGTCAAAAAACAAAAGAAAAAAAAAAGAAAAAAGTATTATTTGTTAACCAATCCTAGTCTGCTTTCCAATTCTGATTATACATTAGACCTAACATTTCAAAGTTTACAAAACATTTAACCTGCTTCAAATGTTTCTTAGACAAAGTACCTGTACTTCACAGGATTATTATGCACACATGGAAATGACCTTCCTATCTCCCCAAAATAAGCTTGAAATTAAAATATGAAAAATTTCACAAAACTCGGGGAGGACAAAATAAAAAAGGCTCTAAGTTAAAATTGGTCATCAGGCCAAAGAGCAGGCATATCCTACTAACTTTCGACCAGGAAGATTTGTTCCTAGCTGAAAACATTTTAGCCTCTCTCAAATGAAAAGATAGTTATTTCTTCTCCTGTCTATACAGAAACATTACACATCCCTCTCAATAGCACTATTTGTCAAACTTCAGTGCAACAAATCAGAAACAAAAACAAGTCCTATTCTTTATACTGCCTAACCTGATGTTTATGTAAGGAAAAAAATATGGAAAGCATGCATTCCTCTATAAAGTACTAATGTTTGACAGGGTTTGCTACATCTTTAACATTTAGTGTTTCCAACTTATCTTCCCTGAACTCTGCATCCAAATATAATATTCCTACCTGCCAAGATATAAAAAAGGCACAGATCATACAACTTTTTTTTTTTGCTAATGAAAATGACAAATGTCACATCACACACATCTCAGGGTCCACTAAAATACTGGAAAAGTGGACCAAAACATAAACTGACACAGGACATGAAATGACCTAGTATTTTATGGACTTTTACATGATATTGAAAACAGAAGTCTAACATGATTACCATAGATGCTATTTATTCATAAAAACTGAAATGTACCAGTGAGTTATCACCCAACGCAGGAAAATGGTCCAAATTAACAAAAAATATCACTGCTCAGTACTTTAAAAAATAAACCAAACTAAAATCCTGTCCTGAAGTGCTAAGTATACATAAAAGTAATGTTTCAAAATTTCAGGATATCTTTTTGTGCAAATCTGAAAATTGCTGCTTATGGTCAATACCAAAAAAAAAAATTCTTAACAGAATTTGTGTTCATTTCATGCCCTGTGCCATCTTGCCTACTATTTGTCTTTGGCCTAACAAAGTTTTCTAATATGGACTAAGAATTGTGGAAATGGTATAGGAAACATAACTTCAGAATTACGCAGTTTAGGGTACTCCATTCACAAGTGGTTGCTGACCATCCACGCTGTCTGGCTTTTCCTTCTTCTGGTTACGATCTTTACCCGTGCGCAGCCGATTACCTTCACTGGAGGTATTCTGCAATGTTTTAGTGTGGACACTCCTTTCATTATTGCAGTCAACTCTGATCTAAAACAAGTTATAGTTGTTATATACACAGACCATATCCTATTGTAATCTGTAATTGGCCTGACAAGAAACTTAAGCCTGAAGTGTAAATTCCACATGTTAAAAGGGGAAATGGGGGTGAGAATAGAAGGAGTGCAAGAAATTAAGGTCAGGTAGGATCTTTATTGGGTTTATGATTTTAAAACACTCTTCTTCTTTAACTGGAGCACATTGGTCATTTCACTGCGTCCCAAGTTAGACAAAAACTCACAATCCTACTGTGTCTTCTTCTAAGCAGAATAAAACAGTGAGAAACAAACAGTTAAAACGAATTACTATTACTGATTACAAGATATACATCCTTATAAAACTAGAGTTCAAAAAAATGGGTTATTCTTCAAAGACTGTGACACCAAGGAGGAGAGACACAAATTAATGTCCTCCTATTCTGACTTTACCAGGATAAGAACTCAACTAACTCACTTATTAACTAGCCTTTACTTTACACCTTTATATCTATCGTGGGTATGATTTTCTCTATGAGAGCTCCCATTGTCTTACAGCAGAAAAATATGAGCATTAGTTTCCAGTAGTTTGCATTTCAGTAAGGCAAGTCAAATGATCATACAACTTGAACTCTGTCTGAAGAATAAGAATGGTAGAGGGAAATCTGAAGACACTAATGTGTGGATGGACTGGAATCCCAGGAAGAGCATAAAGATGAATGCAACTTAAAAAATAATATTCTAATATTTATACAATATTTTAAGTGCCAACACTTAAACACTGCTAACAGAATTCCAGATGCTATACAAAAGAAAAATAGTGTTGACCAATCAGCCTAAAACAACTACAAATACTGATCTGCTTCAAGTACAAATGCTACATATATCCCAAAATGGTTCACTGTAATTTCAAATAGTGTTTAAGCGTTGGGTCTAGGTGTGTGTTTTAAATGTTTGGTTGTCAAGGGTTCAGTGCTTTGATTTGGATCTATTTTCATACTCACATAGAACACACCACCTTTTTATTTGGCATTCCATTTTAATTATAATTATAAATATGCATCTTTTTAACCAATGTGATCAGATTGCCAAGTTCATCAAACATGTCAGCTTAAGTGGGGAATTAGAAAACTGGGACATAAATGCCTTCCAGCTTTGTAAAGCACATGTATGTACATTATTTCATCAATCTCTTTATCTAGGTCTAAGGTCTTTTCTATGCTGGTCCTTAAGAACCCGCCAATAGTTAACTCCTACTTAAAACTGCTATGAATTCTAAGGAATATACCATCATGAAGTTTCTGCTTAAAAAGTCTCTCTCACTAATCTTGGGTGTTGGTTCCACACCATTCCACACCAAGAAGGAACCCTGAATACTTGTATTAAGAATTAAGAGGTAAAGAAGAAGAAGAAGAGAACATGAATTCTGGGAATCAGACACCAGGGTTCCAACATCACTCCACCATATGCTAACTATGTGAGCAGATAGCCAAAAGACTATGGACAAAGAACTGAATGTTTCTAAGCTTCAGTTCACTCATCTATAAAATAGAAAAATAAAACTACTTACCTCGGGGTTATTGTAGGATTAAATGAGATAACACACACACAAAGCACTTAGCAAAGGTGTCTGGATGTGCTCAGGGGTAATTTTAAAATTATTTAACAATGGGTTCAGCACAGGTGATGACCAACTGAGATGGGATTCCCAGAACAGAGGCTGGCTGTAAACAAGCCAGCATGTAGTACATGATTCAGCATGTACTAGCTGAGTATCATCAGCCCCGTTTATCACGATTATTACCCGTGAGATAGATACTTTCTTTTCCTTGCTTTCCACTCAAAGAGCATGCCCTATCGCTGTAACTCAGGGAAGGAGGCACCCACAGAGCATACTTAGATCTCTCTCTCAGTACACTCCAGGATGTTCTTTTTCTTGGGGAATCAGGGCAACCACTGATGTGGTACTGAAGCCATAATGTGACTGTCCAAGTCTTCACAAATATTTAAACTGCATATTCTCTATAGAAATCTTCCCTGTATACTTGTCATGAAGGACTAAGATTGCCCATAGCTGTAATGCTGAAAGGAAAATATTTCATGTATACCAAATTCAGAACCTCTGAACATGTTTTAAAATAAAATAAACTCATAAATCTCAAACCACCGTAATTCAAACAATTTAGATAAAATGAGGCACACAGGTTTACCTGGAGGGATCCATCTGCCGCTCTTGCTTTAGCCTCTCTTGGATTACGTGGACGATTATCTGTTCGGGAGTGATCGTCATTTCCTATAAGGACATTTTTAAAAGGTTCAACAGTCACTGATTCTGACATACTTATTGGAAGTTCTTTATTCCCACACCCTCAATCTATTTAGACCAATCACAGAATCTAAAATATAATCAACAACCTAGTGATTCCAGTTACATAATGGTTAACAATCTAGCATGCTACCAAGAAGACATTACAATTCTGCATCAACTGTGTTACAGATCAACCTGAGCTAATGATCAGATGTTATGTTTAAAATCCCCAAAGAAGCTGAACTAGTCATCAGTGTTTATTCACATATTCTACACGAACCATAAGGATGGCTAATATTCTGTCAATCACTATATGAATGAAAGGCTCAGCCTTTCCTATGGTGACCAGTATAAAACAGAAGAAAAGGGGTCTTAGTAACAGGTCATTGAATCACCAAGATTTTTCACAGAACTTCGGACAGTTGTCACAATTCACCTTTATTTCTAAACAAATGAAAACCTCTGTACCTTTGAAGCCGCCTCCGCGTCCTCTTCCTCCCTGTCCTCTTCCTCCACCGCCACGCCGTCGTCCGTCTCCTCTGCGCAGGAAGTTCTCCCTCTCTTCCTCTGTTGGAGCTAATGACCAATCACTGAGTTCGTCTCTGTGGTCAGATTCTGTTTCAGAAGCATTTGATGCTTCAGAATTAGTTCCTATCGAGAGTTAAAAGTTATATACCATTGTCCGACTTAAAAAAAAAAAGTTAGGTTAACAGAAGCTTCCAGAGATGTTTCAGGGGTAATCCAACACTCTTCCCAATTTATAAGCCCACCAAAGAGTATTATTACCTTCCATTTTGTAAAACAAATTATCTTAAATTCAAAATAAAGGGTTTCATAATATTTGAAGTAATTTTGGTTTTAAACATGTTTGGTTCTCATTTAAAAAAATAAAACATATTTTATTAGCCATCTAAATTCAAACCTGAGTATGCCACATCATTAAACAGCTGTGCTCCTTTAAACATCTGTGCTCTCTGGAGGAAAAGTTGTCTACAACAGTTAAATACAATACCTTGATAAATAAAACCTCTATAAAGAGAGCTCCTTTTAACAAGGTTTGGCCCAGGGACAGAGGGGACTGCACACATTTTGGTCATCTTTGAGAGGGTGGTAGAGAGGGCCACCATGGCAACTGTCTCAGGGAAGGATCTCTTGTGGGATCAGGGACTGGACCTAGCTGAAGGGGGATATGCTTGCCTGATGCTTGGTCCACAACCTTCCCTCCCATTCCCACTGGAATAGTTTATCATTAACAAAGGAATCATAATAAATTCGTTATGCCTGAGGGTTGGGTTAATGATGTATGGGATGGGAGTGGGAAAAAGAGCTCCATGGTGAGGTGTAACTGACTGTTGCGAGAGGGGTTAGGGTTAGGTTCAAGGTTGGCCTTAGGAGTAGGTGTGTCTCTCCCCCACTCCAGAATATCAACTCTACTACCTCTCTCTTCCTCTGTTGGAGCTAATGACCAATTATAGCTTCACCATTATAGCTTCATTCCTGTGGATCTTGAAGGCTTTTCCATCTTAAAGAGTTCCTTTTTGAAATGCAAATATTTGTGAGATGGATTATACCTTATACCATCATTAGCAAGTTACATAGTAGATATACAGTTGAGTAAGAAAGACAGTAGGTTACTGGCAGGTGGGAATAGAGTTCAGTGAAAGGTACTGGGAGAGAAGAAAGAAGCACTGACAGAAGAGCTGGGGAGGCAAAGAGAAACTTCGCCTACTTCTTGACTGTGCCTAGGGCTGACTTTGGCCATGCCACTCGAAATCACCTTATGAGCTAGAGGGTGCAGACCCCTGATTTACACAGTCCCTCCAGCAAGTATGACCAGCACATGCCTGACAAAAAATGAGCCACAGTACACAAGTGAAAAAAGTTTTGGCTATATAGTAATAAAATCAGGAAAGACCTTAAGAAAGTCATCAACGCACAAAGGCTTAAGCAGATTTACCCCCAGTCAGAATGTGGACAGAACTCATACCTGCCCTGTGAACTCTATGTGTTATTATCAGGTTTTTACTCTATATGTCTCTTGCAACACAATTTGACCCACTGTGAATCAGAAACCATGTAGTGAGAAATTGTTATAACGGGGTTCTAATGAATATTAGAGATTAGCAGCTATTAAGTCTAGGAACAGATAAAGTTACTGAGTAAAATGCTTAGTTTGTACCTGAAGTATATCCAGGACCGCGTCTGCCGTGCCCCCTATTTCTGTAAGGTCTACTACCTCGACCCATTCCTTGACCATCATCAGTCACATAGCCTTTTTCCTTATCTGTACGATTTGGTGGTGGTCTAGAACTAGCTCCAATCTGTCGCAACTGCTCATCAATTTGTAATCTCTCCAAACGCAACTGGTCTACTTCCTATTTAAAATATACAAGATAACAGTAAAAATAATTTGACATTTTACTTAATAATACCTTTCTCCTTTTCATCAGATAAAAAGTATACTGGAAATATTTCAATTTCAGTTCTAAATTTACAGTAAACACTGTTAAACAGAATTATCAGGAAACTAAATGGTCTTCTTAAAAAGAAAATTGCTATAGATAACAGATTATTGATGCCCAGAATTAGAGATACAATAAAAATACTCAGCATGAAAATTATATTGAATAGAATTTAAAGTTGTTTGATTTGGTAATATTATTCAATAGAATCTGCTAAAGCACAGAAATACTCATTTGGGGACTTCTTGATGATAGGATATTGAATAAAACAACTCTAAAAAATGTATGAATACAGATAAATGACATTTAAGGTTTAACCAGCTAACCTTAAAAATTACACATTGTAAATAAACTTACTGAAATAGATTTGCCAGTTAATATCTTAATTTACAAAGCATTACAGTTTGGGCCATCTTCTGTTTTCAAGGAACATACACTACGGCAGGTCTTTGGATGTGATTATGCAATTAAGGAACAATTATTTTTAACGAACTCAAAATGCTCATATTCTTTATATGGGGCAGGGGAACTATTTAATAGCTGACTAAAAACATTAGGTCATCCATCATGCCTTGAAAACCTCTTAAAGACTACAACTCTGCTAGAACAAGTATGACAAACAGTATAAATTCAGCTCATCAAAGATACACCTGAGGTCAACTGACAGACCCTTACATACAGTGCTTCCAATATGTTGGGTTCTGTCAAATCCAGATGAAGTCTCAATTCTAACCCTTGTTCTTCCGATCTACACATAAACATCTCATATACTGGCTAGAGGGAAACTGGATCCATAACTACAGTAGTACTGGGTGTCTTAGACAAACAGAGGCCATCATAGGGACTGTCTACATGAACAGTCACTGGAGAAATCCCTGCAAAGCTAAGTTCCTAAAATCTTGGTTGTGGCAGCTTCTGGAAAAGAAAGGGCAGGTAAAGATCTAGATTAGTTTCATTGGTGCTCTGAGTCAGAATTTCTGTTTTACAAAGCACTTGAGCAAAGGAGAGACTAGCTAAGTGAGTGGATTACTCCAAAAGTATAGTTATAGCTCATGGAATGGGTATATCTTGCAAAACAGAATGGTAGTCCAGGTTATCCCAGTGGGGCAAAGCAGTCACCTTCTGGTGAGAGATGCCAGGCCCAATCAAGGGAAGATCTGGTGATGGAAAGAATGGCAACAGGACAGCTGCTGATAACCAAAAAAGATACTCAAGCGTGAAGAATAAATCAAAAGCTCTAAGAGAGAACATTAGTCAAAAGAACAAGGGATTGATATAGTGCAACCCTAACTCTCCAGGTCTTTGTAATTATTTAAGCGAAGGATATGAAGAAAAACACATACAACAGATTACACATAAAACACACTTTAAAACACAGACAGATAAGCAAATCAATGAGGTATCCTACCAATGCAAACCTTGCTGGATGAAGCCTTCACACTTTCAATGATTAACTGAGCACCATAAGAATGAATGAAATGCCTAGCTATTGTACTTCTCTTCCTTATTTGCATACAAGTAAAATTGTTTAATTTATTTCAGCAAAAAATTCTTAAGATAGCATCATAAATAAAATAGAAAATTGGATTACTTTTCAAATACTATTTAGTACCAGTTATATTATAATTTTGATACATATGGATATAAAGAAATTATAAATGTGACAAGGATATGATTCCATTTCACTGAACTATAGAACATTTTGGCCAAAAGGAATTTTAAAAAGCATCCGGCCTAGGGAAGTGACTTGTCTCCAGTCACATAGCTAGTTCATGGCAGAAGAGAAACTACAAGGAAACTGTTGGATTGCCAATCCAGTGCTCTTTCCACTATAATTTGTAGCCTCCTGGTTCCTGCTTTCCAGTTTGCAATCGAGAGGAGGCATAACCATACAAACACTAATTAAAATGAGCATTTACAAGAAGACACAAATTGTTTATATTTTTTATAACAGAGTATAGAGAAAAATACAAAGGGTAAACATTTAAACAGAGGACTTCATGAAACACTGGGATTTCCTTGATAAATGACATAAAAGAGACAAGTGTTACAGACACAAAATTTGGCCTGGAAAAAACTCACGAAGGCTAGAAAGGATCAACTGGATGACGAGGCTATGGAAAAGATTACCTAAATTAAGCGTAAAGGTTTAAAAGAAGAATAATGGGAAATAGGGGAATTTATTGAGAACTGGAATGCTGGTCCTTAAATTTATAATGATGGAAAACTGACTTGTGTTTTCAGAAGGAATATAATAAGCTAAACAAAGTGAGTATTTTCTCTATTATCTTTTACAGGTCAATCATTGTAATGTACAGGCTAGAATGAATCTTAACTGCTGAAAGATTTAGTATGGAGTTTTTATATTTTAGTGCAAAAGGATAAGAAATTAAATTTCTTCCTATTCTCACCTTTAAATAGTTCAGGTGATAATCCAAAAGAACAGTGGCATTAGCGATGCTGTCCTTTGTTCCCACAAAAACAAATGGTACCATACCCTGAAAAAGAAATGGCAACAATGATCCTATAAAATTAATGATGGATTATTCTGAAAAAATGCAGATGACTAAATTCCTAGCACGGGGTCTGACAAACAGTAGGTACACAAATGTTTATTGAAAATATAAATCAATACATGAAAACAAAAGTAGTTGGTAAATTTTATACATCTACTGTGAATAAGGATCGATCAATACAACAACCCCTTAAATGCATCAGGTTATTATGTTTTAAACACTACTATTAAATGTTGGCAAAGTCACAAATTACATAATTCAAACATACACAAGCTTTAACAAGAGATGCACACACAAAATGAATACTTTAAAATACTCTAATTCATTTACTACAGGTTTTATCTGGATCAAATTCTTTAACAAGTAATTCAGAATTAGACAGTAGGGTACAAAAATGACAACTAAAATCAATTTTGCTAACCAAGTCAACAGAATACAAACAAAACACAAACAAAAAGAATTAGGATAAATTAAAATGCACTGAGTAATTATTCTGTCAGAAAAAAAAAACTAGGCACATCCATGAATATAAAATTTAGCATTTCAATAATGTATTCTGAAAATTGTAAAAGGCTGAATCCTAAGAAAAGTTTGATCTTCTCTCTATAGTACTACTTTAATGTAAGGATAGATTTTTAAAAAGGAGTACACTAAAAACGTACACTTCTAGCCCATCATTACAAATGAGGAAAAAACTATTTCTTGTCACAAGTTATAGGGAAGCCTAGGCCAGTTGTACAAGCTAATAGCTGGCAATTATGACATTCGAAGTTGAGAACAGTTCAATATCTTGCTACTGAAAGATTACACGTGGTTACTGATATTCACAAGTGACTAAAGAAAAGCATACAGTGGCTTTGATGTGGACATATTATAATTTTCTAGGCAAAATTTCTAGGTGTGAAAAGCCAAGATGCTGTCCTTTTAGCAAGTATCACTCTTCTAAAGAGCATTCATTTGATCGGTGTGGCTACTGCTGGGCTGCTTCCGCTGGCTTGCATTCAGTACATAGCATCTTAAATGTATGTGTGGCTAGAACAGTTTTTTCTTTTTCCTTCCACATGAACGTGGCTGTTGATAGGGAAAAAAACTAAATAATTAGGAAATACTGCTTGAAGACCGACCTTCATCTGGTAGGTAAGGCACTGCTTCCTAGTAGCAATGACCACCTGAAGAATCAGGTGCCACTGAAAATCCGTGGGCTTCATAAGGATTTTTTTTTGCATCAAATAATATATGAACTATGGAAATAATCATGCCTATGAATCAGATCTCTTCTTCTCAAAAACATTGTTGACTGTTGAGTATTTTCCCCAACTGACTTTGTTCCAAAGCAGTTAACCATATTATTTTCAAAAATGTCATATGATGAAATGCTACTCCTCTCCCTCCGGATCATATAGGACTAAATAAACTTTAAAACCCTATGTGACACATTTAGTTTGATCGACATTGGAGTAAATAATTTTAAAACATTTTCTCTTTCAACATGTCACTTGCATCTATTTTCCTCTTTATAAAATGGCATTTTTGCTTTTAATCTCTTGCGAGTCATAACATTTTTCCCATATATAATTCTCATGGGCCAAGTAGGGGGCCCTGCCCTCAACGAGCGCATAATGTGGCTGAGGAGATCAAGTGATGTCTATGCAGTAAGTGCTACCATAGGGGTGAGCACATTGGAGCACGGAAGGGGGAAAGGCTCTTGAGCCAGTCAGGGAGAGGGGATCTGTGGCAAGCACACAAGGAAAGCTGCACAAGGAGTAAGGTCGAAGCAAGGTGGCAAGTTGGAGGAAGACAGAGCACTCCAGGCGGAGGAAACACATGCACATGTCAAGCAGCAACAGAGTATAACACGTTCAGAGAACTCGAAGTACTTCAGTATGGCTCAAGCCTCTCTAGAATGCAAGGAGGAGGACTGGTAAGAGATGATACTGGACAGGTGACTGTGAAAGAAAGGCCTTATAAGCAACAGGAAGGAATCTGAGCTTTCTCCCCAGGGCAATGGATCCACATACCCACAAATACTCCTCCACCATCCCCCAACCCTGATGATCATTTGTAGTCTTTCTTAACGAGGGGAATTAACATTAAAATATAAAATTAAAATGTATTTTTCAAGGAATATTTTCCTACCTGCCAAGCCTTGAGTTCAGGTTTCTGGGATTCCCCTGCTACAATTGATGAAACCACTAACACCTAAAGCAGTATAAGGAATGCAAGTGATGTCATTAACTATAACAAATGATACACAGAAGCCTGAACGCAGGACTTTCACTGCAGGACTTCTAAACCCATTTCTAAACAGTTAGGTTAGTTCAAATAGTGAAAACCAGTTTCTAAAATACGGTTTCAAGTAGTAACTAACGCATCTAACAGAAGGTACATTTTGAGCTACTACAACCTGCAAAATTTCAAGAGATACAGTATGAAAACATGAAAAGTCCACCCTCAAAAGAAAAATGTGACCATTAAACGCAACCCCGTATTTTATGTTTATAGCACAAGATTTGTCACTGTGAATAAACTGGAAAGCAGGCAGCACTTTGGTTTGTAATATCTCATAAGCTGGCAATCAGATTTGAAAAAAAACCACAACATGAGTAGCCTGTGAGCCTAACCAGAGAGAACACCCGAAACGCCAACTGTGACATCTGGGTTGAAGAAATTACTTTTAGTATAATGCAAAGTGACAAATATTTCTTACCCTCTGGACTTTTGTACTGTTAGGTTGAGAAAAATGAGCGCTGTTTTCCTTTATATCTATATGTTTTTTTTCTTCCGAGGGAGTAGGTCCAACCCTTGAGTTACTGGAAGGTAGGGAATTTGGTGGCATAATTTCCTTGGTAAAAAACACAAAACACAGAAGAGAAAAAAGGACCAATTTTAAATATTTTATTTAGCTCCATATAGTCTATCAATGATCATATTTTAAGAATATATATTATTATAAAGTTTTGGTAAACAAAATTACAGAATACAAAAATTACACAGTAAAAAACCCAAAAGATTTAACTTCAGCCAAAAGAATCTTTCACGAAAGAAAAGAAGGCTAAACAATATGTGAAAATTATGGCAATTTGGGGTGATTTTCTCTTAGTACCCTTCTATAGAAGAGCACGCCCTCACCTCCTCAACTCCACACAAATACTTTAAAAGTTCCGACCATATTCATGAATATAAAAGTGAGGGTTATAAAATTTAACGATTGGAAAGAGATGTTATGCCCAGATAAAAATTTAAAGCACACAAAATAAACACACATGCACATAAACTAAAAAGCCAAAGGATGAAAGCTAGACAACCTAACCAGTGTCCCAATTTTTGGTCTGTCAGCAAGGTTAAGTAATATTTGAAAAGTGCTTTACACTTTTTTACATTTATGACTACCCATTTTAAAGACTGAGAAATAAGACTTAAAGGGGTTAAAGTTACTAATCCAAAGTCACAGCACTGAAAAACAGACAGAGGCCACTATCTACAACTATACCATCAACTGGCATGCCTCCTAATCAGAATTTTTACACTCACACAATGTGCATGTTACAGAGGCCCATAAATTAACAGGTCAAAGAAAACAAGAAAGAACTTTAACTTTTATTAGACAAACTAGAAACAAATGCACTAGAACATACCTCTTCTTGTGGAACATTTTTCTCATTTTCGGCCTCAATTCTCACCCTCACAACTCCTGACTTGTCCACAATCTCCTGAATCAGTTTTCCATTTTTCCCTATTACTTTGCCTATGTTAAGAAAGGAATAATTCATGTTTGGTTTTAAAAACACATACCTCAAACCAGTAAGCACACCCCACTGTAAACTATCACCTTATTTTATGTATATATGTACACATATAATTATAAAATTTCAAAACCAAAACAGACTCTTTTCAAAAATACAGAGTTAAACCGGCTTCCCGGTTTATTAGGTTATCATTGTTTAAACTCTTTTGGTCAGGTATCAGTTGATTAATACTCATGAACTTATTGGGTAATTTTGAATTTTTAAAGCAGTTCAAAGATAGGCTCTTATTTTGCATAAAAGGGTACACTTCGAACTTGCTGGTACAGTGGTGTGTATCCCTCTTTCTGCAAAGTTCTATGAAAAGAATTAAGGAAAATGATAGATAATAGAAAATACATTTGCTTATTTACTCGACAATTTCAATTCTATCTGTACCTGATTGAAATCTGCTTCTTTGCCCATGGTAAATATTTTTAGAATTTTATATGATACATTTATAAAAGATATTCTAAGTTTAAAAGTGGCTTAAACAGCTATACATACATCTAAAAGAAGTGCACACTCTTCAGGCCAGTGTGTTAACAGAATATTACTCCTGTGCATTACTCACCAATTCTATCAGTATATTAAAAGGTGAAGGGATTAGTTACAGAGTAAAAGATTAAGGAATCATACTTTAAGATTAACTCAAAACCACAACAAAAAAACTTAAAACCAGTTCAAGATTAAGTATTATTTAATAACATGTTAAAACTCCAAAGACTTCAAGTACCAGTAATGAATAGGCACTCGATTCTTTCCCTCATTTTATACAATTCAGTCATACACTTAACTGAGAAATGACTGCTTTCATAGCCATCATCATGCCTTAGCGTAAAGCTCACCATTACAAATTTAAGAACTACTGATTCTAGAAATCTACATGTGAATTACATCTGATTCCAAGGGCTCTCCCAAGGTACCTTAAAGCACCTTTGCACTGACCACATCCATATGTGCTTGCCCCATCATCTCATCTAAGGCAGGGATGGGGAAAAAACTGGAAGCCAAAATTTGCTTTGAGCCAATCCTAGAGAAGAAGCCCAGGAAAGCCTTCTCACAGCAGCATCTGGTGGTTCTTCTAATCAGCACAGCCTTGGCACTCTTGCTCTGTGTGGCAGCCTCACTCACTCCCATAACCTCTTTTGACTGGTCAGTGGTCAGGGAACAGGAGTGACATCACTAAAGCAGGAATCCTGATCTAGGTTGCTTCGTCAATTAGTTCTGCTCTTCTCTTCAAATGAAAAGGGGTGGAGGCAGGAGAGAAGTTACATGGAGTCTTCCCACAGTTTGTTTTTAATCTCTAACATTTTATTTTCATGAATTAATGCTGATTTTAATAAAGGTCTAAATGAGTGAGCAAAAAGAAAAATGAGATTTTGGCACATGTTTAACTTATTATCTTTAACATATTTAAGTTAATTATCCTAAGTACTGTGTGTTAACTATAGCTGATTAAATAACTAAACCAATTCACTGTGAAAGTGGGTGAAAAACGAGCAAATTTTTAGAAAAGAAAAATAAATCAATGTACATACTAAAGAGTTTGTGAAAAATAAAGAGATCATAAATCATATTGTGGGACTCAAACTCATGCAGTACTGATTAGACATCTCCCTAAAGATCTGCCTTGCCAAATCTTATTATACAAAAACACTTTCTGAAAACTCCCAACATTCCCATTGTTGGAGTAGACAATCTCTAAAACAGAACTGTTTTATTTTACTAACTAGAAACAAAACAAAAATCAGGCTGACCATACTTCAACAGGCTTTCTGGTGAAAGGTCACTTCTGGGATCCTCCTTCCCCAGGTAAGACCACAGGTAGAATCTTTTAATGGCAAATAATCCAATTCTACATTACACAGTTATTTCCAAATCCCAACTGACAGCTTACTATAGTTTTGCTCTATTGAACTGGATGAAACTGTTTTGAATAAGGGTAAGGAAAGAGAACTAACATATACAGAGTCGCACACTACGTCCAGAGCTTAGGTAATATCTATACCTATCTATCTATATCTCCCTATTTAATTATCACAACAACCTTGTGAGGTGAACACTATTACCACATTTGTTTTAGAGATGAGGAAAGTAAGACTGAGGAGGGCTAAGTCAGTTGCCCAAGGTCAAACAGCTACCAAAAAGTGAAGTAGGACTGAAATCTAGATCCAATTCCAACATTCAAGAACTTTCCCCAACCATCACGCCACCTCCAAAATGAATTTTAATGAATCTGAACCTAAGTTTCTATTTGGTAATTTTTGAAAAAACTGTCTATTGACTATATTTTGTAAGAACTTCTAAATTTACAATAACTTTTCTAACTATAAAATGTATGCAATTGCTTGACAAACTGTAAATAAGAGGAAAATAAATATCATTCATAATCCTACTTATCCTGAGGTAATCATGATAGTGCCATACATACATTTTCTATACATACATTTTCTATACATACAACTGGTGTGCAAGTTACTTCAATAACATTAGTCATGTTCTTTAGTTGTCTGTAGTATACAGTTGGGTGAATAATTCTGCATTATTTCACTACTATGTATACTTTATCTTCAATCAAACTAATTTTCTTTGGGAGAAAAATATTATTCCAAGTACTTCTTAATGGCATAGAAAGATGTTTATAATTCTATGCTGACAAAACAAAACAGGCTAAGTAGGACTGAAACTACGCAAACAAAATGCATAGGAAGTCCTTATTTTCTTGCTCTTCAAACTTTCCAAAGGGCATGCATTACTTTTTATAGTCAATCATGATATCAAGTTGAAAAAATAAAATGTATAGGCAGTATGTCCCAATTTTATTTATAAATTAAAAACATGTAGTGTTCTTGATAAAACTGCACATTGCTTTGATATGTTCTACTAAAGATATCTGCAGCATTTGAGAGTATTGGTCAAGAGTTTCTAGGTATTTTCTGGTACTCGTGATGGTGATGGTTGTGAAACAACAGTACTCAAGTCAAAATGAAGAACTACTCTTGATGTTGCAGACAGCCCTAGAGACATTCGGTGTTACCTCTAGCTTCAGAATTTATTAGATTTAAGTAACTTACATTCAGACCTTCATCTTCAAGATAATTAAAAATGCTATCATTTTACAGCCTTATTAGAGAGATCATATACAAATCTACTCCAAATTATAAAGCCCCCAAATGTCATTCATTTTGAAAATGTATATTTAATTTTAAGATATATAAAATACACAGTAAAGAGGCTGAGCAAAATTTATCCTTACAGGCACTAGTAGGTTTGAACTAGCAAAGCAGTGTCATTTGCATACCTTCTGAAAATGTAATCTTTTGGGTATCACATTTACCAAATATTTTCTGTACACCATAGCAACAGACCATATTTCAAAGATTAAGCTTCAATTAAATGACCCCTCGAGCGAGTGAAAATGGAATTCTATCAGTATAAATAAATTGTTTACCTAACTTTTGTTTTTGTAGTGTTATGTCAACAATTTTTGACTCACCTACTAAGTTCCTTGGAACTTGTATGACATCTTCAGCAAATTCAAGGAAGCTTCTAGCCTTTTTCACAGCATCTTGATCCTAATAAAAAGAGGGAAAAGATTTAAGACCAAAAGATGAGTCATCCGAAATACTGGTTTTTATTTTAGAAAAAAAACTATTTAGTAAACTATTTACCTCTCCATAAATATGAAATGTGCAGGTGTCTTCGTCTAGATCGATAGCAGTGACCCCTGGTACTTTTCTAGCTTGCTGAATATTAGCACCATGAGTACCAATAGCTAGACCCATCAGATCTTCTCGTACGATAAATTGCTCATGAAACCTTGAGGCAAGTTGCCTTGAACTCTGAAGAGAAATGCACATCTGATTAATACGCTTTATCAACTATTAAGACAACTGTATTTAGGTCAGCCATGTAAATTATCTTGACCCTGTATATCAGGGGTCTATAAATTAATTTCAGTTGGAAACTAACAGGTTTTAGAAAATACCTCCCATGGCATAAGTACTTATTAGGTTACTGAAGGTCTATGTCATTTGATATATTTTTGTTAATAGGAAAGGGCTTGTTGACAATTTTCCAAGGTAACTTTTGAAAACCTATTTGCAAGGCTGCCTTAGTTAGCCAATGACATCAACAATGTAATAATTAAGAAGCAAATCAAATGTTCCCAAATAAAAACCAGCTCACTGGATCTGACAGACTCAATGTTATTTAAGTAAAAATATTCTTAAATACCATCTTTACAGAAAATTGTATTCACTTCATTTTTACTAAAGGATATCAGTATATAAATATTTTTTTCTGGAAACAGTGCTATTTAGATAACTTACCACTAGATACTGTGGTCTAGACATCCCCCTGATGAAGTGATGACATTAAAACAACACCCTCCCACCACATCCCCCAACCTAAGGACAGGACCCATAAAAACTGTTGGTACAGTAATTGAATTGAATTATCAACAAATGTCAAAGATTTATAACTTATCTTACATACGTGCCTGCAACATAAAATGAGATCAGAGTCTGTAAGACCTTGTGATCTGGATCCACAAGTATGATCAATTCTTTCAAATATTCAGTGATGACTGAACTAAGTTATACTGACACCCCAAACTTGTGGATAATTGCTTTCTTTAAATAGTATCATCAAAATTTAATGTTTAGTTCCAGCATGCCATTAATGAAAACCAAACATATTAGTGGCTCATGTTGAAAAATGGAAATTTCTTATCTGAATATGTGGATCTCTTTAATATTAGTAGTGAGGAAAGATAGGCATGCACAATAGTTTCTCATTATTCAACATATCTGATAATTTGAATGAATGAGTCTAACTACTATAAACAATTTTAAAAGTAGATTAGAGTAACAAAATGTATCAAATATTCCTAGGACTTTTCAAGAAGTCATGTTTTTTGAGTCCTGGTTCATTCACTTGGTTCACTCTTTTCATTGATAATTCACCGATAAATGATAAGCCAAAGGTATGATAACAGATCATTTAAGAAGAATTAGATGTTTCAGAAGAGAGATATGAGTATATTTCCATAATACTCACAATGACAGTAAGGAGGCTGTTCTGGCCTAAAAGTTATGAGAGAATAGCTAAAGAAACCACAAACTTGTGAACATAGGGACATCAAGAAAGAATGAGAGTAAAAACCAATTAAACAGACCTCCTTGCTCACAAGGAAAACAAAGTAGCAAAAGGAGATATGACTGTCTCCTCTCCCGCTAAGGGTTCAGCAATCACACATCAAGTTGGAAAGTGGCAAGTTTCACAGAGTTTTACAAGAAGCTGGCCTTTACTATACCTTCTCTGTTAAAATGCAGTTTGGCCCTCTTTTTCTTTACTATTTCAACTGCATGGTGTTTTCCCTCTAATGAAATGAGTAATGATGAGGAACTCTGGAATCTGACAGTAATATACTTGAGTTGGCACATTAAACTAAAATCCATTTAGTTTCTATGGTAATGGATGGAAGTACTAGATAGTTATCAATGAAAATAAATGTATGGTGATGGAAATTATTGGAGGATTAATAAAAGTAGATAAAATGCACCTTAAGAGACGAAATAGTAAGTTAGGGAAATAGCCTCTGGCAGGAATCTGAAGACAGGAGTTTTAAAGAGTGACAACCAATTAGAATGAAGAAGTTCTATACCCTTTTAAACAGAGATAAACATACATAATGAAAGGAATATGATTAGATATTTAAATACTCTCTAGTACTTTAATGATAACACGTTATATGGAAGAACCATTGCCTCATTTTACTAGCAGCTTTGATGAACTTCTAGGAAAAGTGAGTTGACCAGAAGTTCCTCAATACACATAAACTGCTACTTAATTCTGAAACCTCAGGCACGAAAACTTTAGTATGATTATGTTTTGTACAATTTTTCAAAATATAGAAAATAAGGAATTGCTAAGAAATAGTAAATAAAGGACAAGCTGCCCATGCTCAAGTTTCGTAACTGCACACTTATTTCTAGACAGCCTTACAAACAGCGCTAGGGAAAGCCACATACCTCTAGCTGCTTACTGGCTTCTTCATTTCTCAGTATCAGAGACAGTTTAGTGCGCAGACTCCGAAAGTGCATGTCAATCAGCATGTGTGCTCGCTTTGAGGTGACTTCATTGATAGACTAAAGGATATAAATTCACACCATTATTATCAAAGCAAATGCCCCAAATGAAATACATCAAAATAGACAACTCAAAAACACTCACCAAAATGACAAGCTGATAATTTTCTGGATCATAAGTTACAGAAAAGGCGCCAACTGCCTTTTTAAAGTCCTTATGTGCCGACTCTTTGGCACACCTAGAAATAAATAGAATATCCATTATGAAGTTAAGATGAATGATACCAACTACTGGCATAAATATATGCAGAGAGATTTGCACTTAGTAGAATTGTGAATTCCTATTAAACCTGACTTATGCAAAATATGCTCTATCCATTTAAAAGTTTAGTTCCTTGGCTGTATATCTCTGAAATACTCAGCCCAAGTAAGAATTTGAGATTACCAGAGGAAAAAACCAGTTATGCTCTTAAGAGATCACTGGTGGTCTTAGATCATCAAGGTGACATATTTAGGTGAGCTACTCTCCTCTGCAGGCTTCCTCATTTCAGTTACATATGACAAGTCAGTAATTTTCTTGAATCAACTGTTGAAAACTTTTGGGGATAGCTACAGGTTACCCGATTTTGTTTTGTTGTTTCTTTTCTAAAGAAAAACTGCGGACCAATTTAAGGGGGAGAAGGAGATGTATATGAACGAGAAGGCACAAAAATTCACAGATGTATGCAATTCCTACAATCAAAAAGCAGAATTTCTATGTATATAATTTTGAACTGCAAGTTAATGTCTGTCAAAAGTGTGACATGTCCAAATCAAACTTATTATATCCCCTGGATGAAATCCTCAGAAAGGAACCTCTTATCTAAAAAGTCTCTAAGTATTATTCCAGATCAAGGATTGTAAGATAGAGATGACCTTTTGAAGCTTCTTTAGCTCTACTTTTAGTTATCTGAAAATATTAGCTAAAAGGGAAAAAACCTGGAAAAATCTTGTCTAGAATTTGATTTGTGACTTATGACAGAAAATCTGTATTAATCACTTTCAAAATCTTAAAATTCTATGAAAAAGTTAATTTTAGACAACAAATGTACATTAGCCATGTATCTAGCAAAGTAAGTTTAACAAGTGCAGTGCTGGCTTGATTATATAACTAGAAAAAGCTAAATACGTTTTTTTCACTACTTGTGCAAATCATTTTTGCCAAAGTTCACTGAATTTAAAAATTGATTTCTACTATTTTAAAATTATATTCTTTTAAATTAATGGCATATCACCTGTAAGTTCTCAGTGATTCTCGCATACCAACTTACATTTGTCGTAAGTCTTCTGGCACGTCCAGTTTGATTTTATGGAAAGTATCTTTTGTGGCAGGTTTGTTGGGATTAACTGATCGTAAACGTTCAATTGTGACAATTTCATTGTACGTAGCATCACATGCTGCATATTCTATCACGTAAAACTGAGAGAAATAAATAAAAGTCACTCCTGGTCACAATGTTTAAAGTAAGAGCAGTAAGTTATAACTATTCAGTTATTTTTAAATTCTCTAGAGGGGAAAAAAACTGGATTTGATCAACATATGAAACATGAAACATACTGAACATGTAGAGAAAACATTTTAATAAAATGACTCAAGTTAGATATTACTTTAAAATAGAAATCCAGACTGAAATGTAGTACCTGGGTTTAGAAAAGGGAAATAGTATAAAAAAAGTTTTAAATATGCATTTTCCTACCTCACCCTTTATCATCCTCACTTTAGCTAACCACCAACAGCAAGGCTCTTTTTCATTTGCTCTGGAATAAACCTACACAAAAATTACAACACAGAATATTTCATGATTAACATCATTCAGAAATCTATAGATTATCAGACATTGAGGAAAATTTCTTAAAATGACCCTAGGTGTCTTCCAAACCCATATGCCGTATACCTTAAACCAGAGTGCACTCCTATAGCTAGACATAGATACATTACCTGATTACCTGGGAGAGTCCTATAGAAAATGCTTTCTTACTTCTTCTGTTTTACTTCAGTAATAATCAATATTCTGAATATGAATGGCTCAAGAAAAGCTGATTGTTCATAAACTGGGGCATACTTTCCTTGGGTACTTTGTGAGTTATGAAAATGTATCTAAAAACGTACAAGCAAACTTGTTTTTGTTTCACTCTAATAAGCAAATAACTGATTGGAAGTTACTGACCCTGGCCTACTGCCTGGCTGCATGGTTACTAAATGGGTAAGGCCGCTGACTACTCAGCCCTCTAAGGATACCACCCTGGTATCCATGTCTCTTGGAGACTAAATGAACAGATCCTTGATCTCTCTGGTCTCCTGTCCCCTCTCCACTAAAATGGACAACTCCACGCTGGCAATCCTCTGGATACTAGCTTCCTGCTCTCACACATTGTGGATCAGTTCTTCTAAACGATCTCTCTGGTGACCACTTCAAAGTTCACTTACGATGTGCAGCATGGAACCTTTTGTGAAGACACTAGCAAATCAAGGTTAATAGGAAAACAGACAACACAATACACATGGAGAGAGTGACAGAGACACTCAGAAGCAGAAAGCAGCAGCAGGGAAGACAAGGGGGACGGAGAGGATAGGAGATGAGAGAGAGGTACAGAGCCTAAGGCTGACAAGCAACTCAAGGCTCCAACTCTTGTCTCCCTTTTACAACTGAAGGTAACAGTTATACAATACAGCGACCAAATACAACGTAACTCAACCTACCTTTCCCTCTTGCCCCCATCACTTCCTCCCAACTTCGCTATAGCCAGAGAAATAACCTCAGTTAACTGTTATGTAACACAATGAGGTCATCCTGCCAACAGCGTCTCATTGGTCCCTGTCACATGAGTAAGCTGGGAAAAAAGTCCCCTTTATCCATCACTATTATGAGCATTCCTAATATAGACAGACCAAAAGACCTGGTATCTTGCCTCCCTTTTACAACGTTACGTTAATAGTTATACAATACCGTGACTAAATACAACTTAATTTAACCTACCTTTCCCTCTTGCCACCATTAATCCCTTTCAACTCCGCTCTGGCCAGAGCAGTAACTTCAGTTATGTATTACTGTTAAGCAATACAGTGAGGTCACCTTAGCAACAGTGTCTCATTGGTCACCACCTGTCCTGTAATTCAGTTGTAAAAAAGTCCCCTTTACCCATCCAAACACTATTATGAACACTCCTGATATAGACAGACCAAAAGTCCTGGCCCTTGCCTTCAGGAAGCTTGCAGTCTCCTAGGGAAGTCGACAGCTAACAGTCCTCAAGTCCAGACAGTGTGTGTGTGTTCCCTAATGGGATCTCTCACAAAACCAAGCCCAGTTCCTTACACCTAGTAGGTACTGAGTACATTTTTGGTAAACAAATAGTACTTTATCCTATCTCTACTTTAAAACTCTAGAGAAAAGAACACAGGCCTGGACATTCAGAGACCTTTCCTGAGCACTCTCTAAAAGAGCACTCCTGCCCCTACATCCCTTCCATCCTCTTACTTTTTCTCTTCCTAGGACTTACTCACACTTGCCATAGTATTAGCTACCCTCACTAGAATGAGACCTCATCAAAGGCAAGGGACTCTTCTGTTGCACTGCACCATCTGTACCTAGCACAGAAAATAAGAATTCAAGGACCTACTACACTTTACCTGTACAAACGTCTACTTAGCTGCTTCCTTCATACCACAAATATTCATGACGTTGCAACTATGAACAAGGCATTGTAGAGAGAGAAGAGAAGCTTAAAATGGAGTGTGTACAAGGGCAGGAAGGAGAGGATACTACACAGACAAACTGAAACATAAAGCCGACTCCAAATGCCTTAAGTCTCAAAACAATTTCGGTGGTTAGAGAAATCGCAAACACAACGTTAATGTGTTACATCTCCACAGCACCTTTTGGTCACTGACATCAATGGCACATGAGCAGGCGGTTTACAGCACGCCCTGTGAAAGGATGTTTTACCTATATGTGTATATACTAAAACTCGTAGACAGGTTTTTAAAAATATACCAGGAGGATTCACTGCTACTTAAAAAAATTCTAGGATGCTGCTCTATTTTAAGGCATGATTTTTTTCATTTGTAAGACTAATTTTTCTAATCCATTTCGCTTAAAATGGGGACACAGTTGTAAACTAACAATATATTATTCAAACAAAGATTCAGAGATTCAGGGAAGGGGGAAAAGAAGTACTAGTGGGCAAAAGAAATCAGTGGTAACTTTCAAAGATGTGCCCCGAGGCAACCACATTTAAGCAGCATGTATTATTTCAAATCATTATTAAGACAGCTCAGTCAAAAGCACATGTCCATCACAGCTATAATTCTCAAGGTAGTATAAACAGTGTTAAAGACAATGGGTACAAAAGGCAGAGGCAAATTAAATGCTCCCACTCCTTCAGTGCTAAATAACTTGATGGCAGGAAAACTTACCTCAACTTCATCACTTTCATTTATATCTTTATTATAACCTACAGGTGGTGGGAATCTCACATCATGGAATGGAATCTGCCTCTCTGGCTGCCAGCTGAAAATAAGCACACACACAATTATTTAACATGCTTTTCAGTTTAACAGAAACAATGACCACAATGACCACACTGCCATCAACTTTTGGTTAAGTGTGACTCTCTTTCCCTAGTTGAAAGAAGCAAATGCTTTAAAACTGTCAGTGTTTTGCTGAGTGGGGCATAATGGCACTACAGAGACATTTCAACAAAGTCTGCATGCAGCACAGCACCCTTGTAGTCCTCTTTGGAATACTTCTCTAAACACAATAGATCAACATTATAATTTCCAAACAAGTCTTTCCTCCAATAATTTCAACCTCTAAGAATTCTAAACATAAGGCCACAACAGCAATTTCCTTTGATGCTTAAATTAAATGTTAGTATCAGTAAGTGTTAGTAATATCATCACCATATTTATACTTGCAAAGGAATTTTAACCACATTCCAATGACCACAGAAACTGGTCCTAAATGCCCTCTAAATCCCAAGCAAAATGGGGCAGTCAGCACATTAGCAATTCATAACTCACTTTTCCCCCTTTAAATTTTAGATCCCGCGAGGTGGTCAATTCTTGCCATGGATAGCTGGCTGCTGATCAGAATGACGTACCAGCATGCACAGGCCTGGTGGGGTCTCCTAAACCACAGAAACCCGATGGAGACAGCCTATAGGAGTTCAGTAAGTTGCCTATGTTTTTTTTAATTTAAAACGATATGGAACAACTTTGAAAAACACCAAATTATTCTTTTATATCCACATGATATAAAATATTAAAAGACAGACTTTGCAAAAACACTGGAGGGTTCAACTGCTGGAGCAGTCTTTTCTGGGTTTTTTGCTAAAGGGCTTTCTTAGTAAAATCTTATTGAGAAAACTGCTTTTTTAAAAGAAGAGCTATTATATAAGATAGGAGGGTAGGTAATTAAGTCAGAATTTGTGGAAATGTGATTAGGGCCTATAGTAGACCGAACCCTCTCTCCGAATTATTATACACATTTAAAAATTATACAACTTAAAAAAATTGTCTTTACTTCAGAAAAGCCTTTTTATACTTACCGAAAATTAGTGACTTTTAACACGTTACAAATTCATTGCTAAATGTGATTTGTAAAGCGTAACAAAAATACATAATTTTCTTGGTTCCAAAGAAGGAAGAATTAAGTCTTAAGTGTGTAGAGATAAAAATTCAAATTCTTCATTCAAAAACGTGAAATATGGAAGGTAAAAACAAAGCATCTAAAATAACCTGGTATCATAGTAATAGGAGTTTCTTTATGATTGAAAGGAAAGAAAAGGTATATATAGTCTGAAGTTCTATGAAACATCAGTTGTTTTTTTAACAGAAAAACAAAAAAGAAACACAGAAGGATGGGCAAAAAGACTACTATGGTAGGGGCTTATCAAATCCTGGTGATGTGCTCAAACCCCGTGCTGAATCGCAAACACGGGAAAAACAGTTGATCTATTTCAAATTCCCAGCATGACAGACAGCTTGAAGAGAAACTTTTATGCAGCTATGGTACAGGAGAGAATTAGGAAGTCCAAAGATAGAATAGTTTTTAAGTTTATAGTAGAAATCTGATTGAAAACAAAAGAGAACTAATCTGATAAATTCATGTATAAACTAGACACATTCTAAAATGCATAGAGGAAACGAGTGTTTGCTTAATATTTTAGATTAAGGACTACGGAAGAAACTAAAAGAGTGGCAAATAAAGATAACTCTCCTTTTATGGGAAATTGTGTTTACATAGTGATGGGAGCAAGCAGATAAGAGCGTAATTATAAGAAACAAGTTACTCTCCAAGTTATCAAAGATTCCTCCATTAGAGGTGTAACACTGTTGTCTAGTGTATAACCATGGATATTTGAAACAGCAAAGAGGCAGATTCTGGAACTTGTGGTTCTATGTATTCAGAGAATGGTATTCTATTATTCAAACTTGTATTTTGGACTGAGATTATTAGTCTAGAGCTGAGAACAGGGTCAGATACTCTAAATCCTTTTATCTCTGTCACCCTAAATGTGTTTCAGGTATCCGAGAATACTATGTCCTGTTGTTAGCTAAAAGAATTTGCTGACAGTCTCATTACAGTATGTCTGGGTCAGATACTATATTTTAACAGACTTATTGAGATATACTTCACATACCATATAAGCCATCCACTTAAGTGTATGTACAATTCAGTGGTTTTTAGTATATTCACAGATATGTGCAACCATTACCAGTCAATTTTAGAACATTTTCATCACTTCAAAATGAAATCTTGTACTCTTCCCTAAACAACCACTAATCTATTTCTTCTCTCTATAGATTAGCAATCTGCTTTTGAGATACTGTTAATCCTCTTGGTACATAAAAGCCAATACGTTATAGTTGTTGACCATTCTTCAGAGTTTAGTAAAATCCTAAGATCATGACCACACCTACACTTTGGCTAAGGAGTTCACACATACTTTAGAATCTGGAACAGCTACTCTGAAAAATGCCTTTATTAGCATTCAGAAAATTTAGTCAAGAGACTTGTCTCCCCCAATAAAATGTTAACATCTGTGCTATTGATGCCTTCATAAAGCTAATATTCCTGGGCCTGTAAGTAATTTTATCTACTCATCCAGCAGAAGAAAGCAGAAAAGATCAGTTACCACTATTATTGATTATAAATATAGGAAACAGATAAAAATTAAGTTAATGGGTAAACATGACTATTTCCAATAAATATACTAGACAACTAACACCATCGATTTTAGATTTAACATTACAAAACTCACATTGATTTTACCAATACCCATGAATTCATTCATTTTCATCTTTTAACAATTACAAATATTCCTATCCAAACTCTCAGTTACTAATACAGAAAAATTTGGTTTCTTTCTTCACATTCAAGGGGACTGAGATAGATGTAAGTATCAAGATTATGTAAAAGGGATCTCTAAGGGCATGAGCAGGAAGTCATTCCATTGGTTTAATACTGAGTTGTTCAGGAACTTTGTGGTCAGTAACATGAAGATCCATTCCTGAAAAACACTCAAACTAGATTGAATTTTTAAAACGAGGAGTAAAAATAATAATTAGCATAAAATAATAAAGAACCTGAACATTAAAATTATATCAAGACACTTACTTGTTTTCAAATGCAACTGTTATTGAATCTTCATGAACATCCTTTACAAATGCCTGTAAGAAAAACACCACAGTTAAATTAACTTCTAAGCTTAAATATCAGGTTTGTTTTTAGTTACATTTTACAAACATACCAAAACATTTTATGTTTAAGAATAAAATGGAGCTTCAAATGAAAGTTTGTCAGTTTGTGAGGATCACTCATTCATGAACCACATGTCTATTTAGCCACCTGCTATGTGCTAGGCCCTAGGAATACGGATTAGTTAAAACAAAACATGAAAAAACTGCTCTAGAATTCAGCATCTAATAGGAGAGAGAGAGACAGAGAGAGGGAGAAAGAGAAGTAAATTGAAAATTACAACGCAGGTGGTAAGCGCAAAGCCAGAGGTATACTTTAGGCTAGAACTATTGGAAACTAAAACTTGTTCCAGAGCCATATGCCAGCCAGTATAGATCTGTTGCAACCTATCTTTTTCTCCTTAATAAAATTTTAGGAAAACAATAATAAATAAATATAATCTCAAATCTATGTACACGCAAGTACACTTAACTTTCCTTAACAACAATATGCGGCTAATACCACTAAAAAGTCCAATTACCAGAGTTTAATTAAATTCTGAATCTCACAGGCACTTGGAGAAAACAACAGTAATATGAAGTACAGAGGTTTAAATCTTTTAAATCTGATGACGCAATTGCTAGTAATCTGCAGAAAGACATAACAAAATAGCTAACTAATTATCAAGAATTCTTTAATCAGCATGCTGTCTGTAATTCTATAAAGTGACATAAAAGTAATAGCTAACTAATTATCAAGAATTCTTTAATCAGCATGCTGTCTATAATTCTATAAAATTAGGTTTTTAATAGGTGTAGGAAAGGAGGTTTTGTTTTTGTTTTGACAATTAGCAGAGTAGGATAAAGCATAAAGAAACCCGAGGGGCTTTCTATCTTAATTCATTTTAAAATGGCTTGAGAGATTTAAGCTTCCTACTCAAATTTGTTCTATACATGTTTCTCTCCTGTGGTTTCTCCCTGCCTGCAGGGTTACGGCCAAACTCCTTCTATGGCTGTAAAAGGCCCTTCATGACCTGGCCCCGCTGCTCACCTCTCCAAGCTTCATCTCTCACATCCTTGGAGGTTGTGATTCAGCAACCCTAAACTACTTGGGCCTCTCTCCATAAATGTTGTTCCTTCTTTCCTATTGCCCTTCCCCTCGTTTCACCTAGCTACCTTCTATGGTCTTTTAAGTTTCAGTTCAGATGTTACCTCGTATGGGAAAACCCAGAAGACTAGGTTAAATTTCATCCTCTGCATTCCTATAGCATCCTATACTTATCCCTACCATAAGCTTACCTCACTATAGTATTATTGCCCATTTTCCACTACCAGTAAGCTTCCTGAGGGTGGGTGATAGGTCTTATTTTATTTACTGTTGGACTTCAGAGTACCTACAAAGAACTCAATGAATAGTTAAGTGGATCATTGCCTAAGGGGTTCCTATCCTAGCCTTGGAGGAAAGGTATGTGGGTGGTGAGGGAGGTGGAATGTTGATCAGGGAAGACATACGGAAGAAGGTGAGGTTCCTATCAAACTTGAAAGGTTGAGGAAGAATTAGCCAAACAAAAGGGAGTGGAGGATGGGGAGGCACGCCAGGCTTAAGGGGCAGCAGGAACAAAGGCTTTAAACCTGGAGAAACACTTGAGGTGTGGTAGAAATAAAAGCTTTGTGGATAGGAAGCCAAGACAATTCAATGGAGAAAAAGAATTGTGTTTTCAACAACTGGTGCTGAGACAACTGGATATCCATGTGCAAAAGAATAAATTTTGACCCTCGCCTCATACCATATATAAAAATCAACTGAAAATGCGTCAGAGACCTAAATGTAAGAGCTAGAACTATAAAACTCTTAGAAGAAAACATAGTAGTAAAGCCTCATGACTTTGGATATTGGGAAGATAACTAGTTCAGATTAAGACTATTCTTTAACTCCTGTATCCTCAGTAACTGGCACAATCTGGTATATAGTAGGTGCCCAATAAACGTCTTAAACAAACAAATGATTCAATGCAAATGTATTTGTAAATGAATATGCCTTTAAAGGCCTGAAGTTACAGGATTTTTTAAAAACTGGAACTCCCCAAAATATCAAATTAAAACATATCAGTCAAGTATTAATTAGCTGTTCCTAAGAAAAACAATGGCAGGTGAGGCAGGGCCCTGGTAAACATTTATTTGGAAGCTACATAAACAAAGATGCCAAACTTCTGCAATTACGCTTAGAAAAACAAAAGCAAAGCTACACTAAAAGTTTCCTTGTAAGATCAAGGTGGACTATAATGGAATCCAGGTGTTCTCCTATACCCAAGATGGCTAAATCATGATTTCTAAGTTAAGCATGTGTATATAGCTGCATAGTTGCTGGTTTAAAAGGGAGAAATCCCATATTTTCTTCCTATCATTTTGCTCTTGCTTATCTGTCCTCAGCTATATTTAAATCATGAACATTTTCTACAGCATATTTTAAGAACTCTAGCTTAATACTGACCACAATATTTTAGAATATACTAGATTTCATAAGGGCGCATGCCATCAGTGTGCTAAGGGGTTGTTTGCCTCACTATTACTTCAGAAACAGAAAGGCTTGATTTTGAGTTAAAGTTGCAAGAATTGGTCGCGCTTAGTTTTACAAAGTAAGTCCCCAAAATTATGGAGCATGGGACCTGGGCCCCACCCCAGACCCCACCTCATTTCTCCCTAGTCTCTACATGATGGCTAATATCCAATTAACAATCTGCTTTTTGGGGGTGGGATTAGATTAAGGACTAAAATCAAGACTCCTATTAGGAGGTGATCCCTTATTTACCCAGAAGGGCCATTGCTTCTGTCTTCATCCTTGTCTAAAAAGTTTTATGTTAGCATGTCTTGGCAGTAATATTAGTTCCTTACTATATATTATATGCTGAAAATGTTAAGTCCTTTAATCAGCTAAGAGAACTTTGTCACAGCTGGGTGAAGAACTGTCCTCACTAAATCAGGTCTTTCCAATACTACCGGCCGTGTCTAAAACTGTGCTGTCCACCATAGCAGCCACTGGTCTTATGTGACTATTTATATTACTTACAATTAAATAAAATTAAAAATCCGTCTCCCAGTCACACTTGCCACATTTCCGAAAGTGCTCAATAGTCACACAGAGCTTAGTGCCTACTGTAGCGGATAGCAGAGGTAGAAACCATTTCCATCATCACAGAAAGTTTCATTGGATGGTGCCGATTTAAAACAGTTAACAATGTTGGAGACTGTTTTCAAACTCACCTTAAAAGCACTCTAAAAGTCTGTATCATTACTTCATTGTTATATGTTGATTTTTTTCTATTTGCCAAAAAGTCATTGCACAGTTTAATCATACTCATTCACCACATTTGCCTATTTCCTAAAATCAAGCTCTCCCTCAAAAGATCTGCAACTGTTGTGGCTATTAAAAAAAAAAAAAAAGCTTTTAAAGGCTCTGAGAGAAATTCCGGATGTAGAGTGTCAGAAACGGTTTGAGTAATCATCACAGCCTACACCAGGGCCACTGCCTTCATTAATGAGGCTTATCTGTATATGGATGTTTGCACGACTGTTCCAAAACCACTCAGTTTTTGTCACTGTTTGCATATTAAATGAATACAGAAGGCATACAATACCTTCTTCGTTGCTGCTATAATAAGTGCAATAAAAGAAACTCATCGGTTGCCTCTGGGCCTGCACTCACACCCAGTACAAACACCTCCTGTGACTTCTATCTAAGGCCTTTTACTAAACTGTCACTTCCAATGAGGGTCCCATCTTCCTGCTTCTCATCACACTTTCTCCAATAACCTTCCTTTTGGCCCTGCCCCTCCCTCACCCCAACACTCATTTCCTCCTTCCCTGGTCACCTCTAGAGCACCATCACCCCACCCACCACCAACTTGGAAAACTACACTTTGTTGTGATCCCTACCTATCTACATCAAGCAAAGCCAGTGTTTGGGGAGGGAGAGGTTCAGCGGATTCCTGAGAGGTTGACAAAGAAGGCAGACTGAATGGGTTTGAACGAATACACAAAGGGAACTGCAGTGTACTGAATGAGAGCTAGGGATCTTATAAGAGCCAGTAACCTTAGTGGTCAAGAATTTTGTTGTGAGTGAGACCTAGGTTCAAAATCTTTGTGCTACCACATTACAGCTGTGGGACTCTCCAAGAAGTGGTCTCTGGGCCTTAGGAAGGAATGGATACATGGGAACTGGACCTGCCTTCTAAGGTTGTTGAGAATAATGAAATTACACATGTTTAGTGCCTAGCACAATGCCTGACACATAACTGGCACTAAATAAATGAGAGGTAAAGCAGAGAGGGGCATATTTTAAAAAGATGCAGAATCATAAATGCTCTTGCATTTGAGAAAGTTACATCTCAACAAAAGCACACTTAAAAAAAGATTTAAAAATTGGGACAGAAAAAGAAAAGGTTGTTTCCTCAAAGATACTAAATACTAAAAAGGTTATTTAGACTCTGAGAAGAAAAAAATGTGATGAAAATCTTTGGGGTTTGAGAAAGGTGCTAAAGTGCAGTTAAAGACAGACACAGACTCCTCATCAGAGGGAATAAACAGGAAATCTAAAATCATTATGGGATCCCCAACTTAGCAGCAACTGGGCCAAAGAGGCAATCATTACATACTTACCCAAGTATGTAATGACTAGAGATATCCAATTCAAACTTTACATTACCAGGATTGATCTAAGTAAGAAGAAAGTCCATCCCTATCTGAGTGAACTCTTACTCCCCCACTACACCTCACACCCCTTAACTTAGTAAACTCTCTCACAAATCTGAGTCGCTAACCTATATACAGGTTATTGTGCAGAGAAATTTCAATGTAATCCACTGAACACAACTACTACATTATCATTGAAGACAGCAAATGTAGTGCAATGATAATCCTCATCAGAGAAAACTTAAGAGCATTGCAAAATACCCCTCTTAAAGAAAACCTGTAGGAGATAGAGGATAGGGACATATGAATTGTGATAAAATATGATTCAAGGCTTCATATATAAAGCGAGTTACTGCTTTGTCACCCTTTGTATGTGGGCACTAACAACGTAAGGGAATGAACAACGGAAAGGGAAAAGTACAACACACCTCATCAACAGCCCTGCCAACCACAGTGCATATCTAGGAATACTAGAGTTCACTTGGGCATTTTCCACAAATTCTGAGAAAAATGCATTCTTTCTGGTTCACCCTGACCCAAAGACAACACACAGGTACAGAAAGAATAGTATTAAATGAGCTATTAATTTTCCTGTGTGCATGTATTCTAACTTTTGACTTCAGTTCTTATGTGCTCCCAATTAACAACAGCAAATTTCATAGCAGGGTCAAAGATTTCTAATTTTATTTACCTTTCCTTAGTAGGCTTTCATATGAAGAATTACAGTGTGATACATCAAGGTACAAGAGTTAATAAAAAGGAAGCCCATACATAAGCTGAATATTTTATGACATCTTTGCATCAACAGTAAAAAATGGTAACATAACCTTACAACTGTACTTATAGAATGCTAAGGCAGTGTTATAGTAACAAATACAATCAAAGATGACAACGAAACTGAAAAATAAGCAGAAAATCGAATCCAAGTCATTTCCTCAAGCTAAATTTCATCATTTCAGGAAGTCAGACTACCTTATCTCAAATCCCAGATCAGACCCTTACTAGCTCTAACACTTAGTAGTAAGTCACTTACCTAATCTCTCTCTGTACATCTACGTCCTCATCTATAAAATGAGAATAACAACAGTACCTCAGGATTGTGGGAGAGGATGAAATAAATTAACAGAGGTAAAGCACCTAGAACAATGCCTGGCCCCTGGAAAGCTCTCAGCACCTATTAACAGTTATCATAACCACGATCGCAGTCATAGCAGGAAGCACATTCCCATAGTGGGCAGGAATCAGAAACCCAATTATTATACCACTGATTTCTGCATTTAATTAATAATTTGGAAGTTTTCAGAATGTGTGAGTACGAAGTCGGAAAACACACAGTTCAAAAGGGGGAAAACGATGCTACCACAAAGATACTAAACGCTAAAAAGGTTATTTAGACCCTGTAAAGAAAAAAAAAAATGTGGTTGACCTGAATACTACACTTCCTCGAAGTAGAGAATAACACCTGTACACAAAGTTAGATCTAGAGACTTCAGAGAAAACATAAAAAGTGCCTTATGCAAGTTTATTTGTAGTAGAACAGTGATTTCTAACAGGCTATGTAGCTAATATGACATGTTAGGCTACTAATGTCATTAAAAAAATTTCCTCTTGACTGTACATTTTGTCATATTTAGCTGCTAGCTCCATAACACTACTCAACAAATTAAAGTCTGTCCTCAGATACCAAACTTAACAACGTAAGATATAATAAAGTATAATCTAACAATAAGAATGCAATTTAGCATATTTACACCATATTACAATAATGAATCAGATAACAGTCACTATATTTTCAGAAAACGAAAAGGTGTTGTATCTTATGTTTCCAACACACAATTTATCCATCTTTGGTAATTCATACTAGTATACAAAACCTAGGAATCTTAGGATACATTAGTACATACATTCATATTGGCATGACATACATTCTACATCTAAAATGGAGTTAATTCATTTCCATTCTCAATAAATCAAAACTCTTTAGTCAGAAAAAAATTTACTATACTATTTTAGGCAGATGTCCCTAGAAAAAAACACCTTATTTCAACATTATTCGTTTAGGAAATGCTTTGTAAAGATCTTGTGAGGTATAATTCGAGTGTCTTCATGTCTTAAATAACATTAGGCTCTATAAATTGCACATGTGACTTATTTCTAAGTCAAAGAAATACCTAAGAATAAAAGTAGTGGCTCTGACAACTACTAAATCTAATTGTCAAGTGTTTAAGAATAAACACCAAAGGGAAAAATAGAAATGAGCTGTTACAATCTCAGGGTTTAGGTTTCATGGTTCTGTAAATTCTGAATCCTGAGAGTGACTTTACACAGACTTTGTAAAGTAATTTTGAGTTACTTTATAGAGAAAGAATCCAAATGTTCACAGCATATACTCTATCCAGTTTATATTGCAAACTTGGACCATGCACTCAGAAGATGGAGAACTGTCCCTTGTAATATGGTGGTTCTGTTAGGCAAATCAAAGTCTGAATTCAATTATACTGAAGTCGTTTGAGTTGTTTAGTTTGTAAAGGTTGTTCTATCAATTTGATGAACCAGCGTCTGATTTTTTCATAAATGTAACATTTCTCCATAATAGTTCATTTTTTATTGGTCTTTATTTCCCATCTTTTCTGCCCATCCCACTGGACAAGCAATTCAGTTTACTTTTGCTTTACTTTCATAACTCAAAGCAATATTGAGTCCTATAAAAAAAATTAAGTCTTTTCCATTACAGAAACTATTTTTCCACCAATACAGACCATTTGAGATATTCTTAAAAATAAACCTTAATTAAATAAACATAACAGCAATTTCTCTACATATATTTGTTTAAGTTTCACATTTCCCCTCAAGTAACTAAGGGACAACCACTCTTTTTATTCACCTTCAAATTAAGCAACTTGGTTAAAAAACAAAAACAGGCAGGATTAATAGCAAAGATAGAGGGAATTTCTTATATTCCAATCAGTTTGCAAGCAAAATCACAGAAGCAAATCATAGGTTGCTGGAAGAGAACAATAAATCCTTCAAGACCAGGATGTGCTACTTGCCCTCCACAGCAAGCAAACTACACTCAAGACAGTAAGAGTGGCGTCCAATCTGAGCTAATATCACAGATCTATTAGAATACTGCTCAACCATTAGCCCCTGCTCATATTTATTATAGTTAGCGCCACAAATCTAGTGAGTAAAACTATCAATCTAGGAACCAGAACGATTCTACACAAACCAGCAGAAATTATGCATCACTGAAACACATACAACCAAAATTCTGACTGCAGAGTCAACTGAAACTGTTAAGAACATAACTGCTGGGTTATTTTTTCATCCTTTTACAGCTAAAGGTTTCATCTTTTTGCTAAAAGTATGGAACAGTTTACATACTTTACTCACTTATGAAATATACCGATCTCCAAATATCTCCATAAAATTAGTAAACACACATATAGTTAAGTCAACTGTTTATTTTCCTATAGCCAAACGAGTCCCATTTGAAACGTTTAAGTTATCCCATAATAAACTGAAGAATTGTGTTGGACAATGGCAATAGCTAATTTCCATGCTTCCTTCCATACCCAAAACCTTCTATTGCCAAAACACTATAGTAAAGTGGGATGTTACTTACAGAAGCTATAGAGGGACATTCAAGAGAAAAGGAGAATTTATAGATTACTAGAGCTACAGTAAGTACGTACCAACAGACGCACTACCAATACATCAATACACCAAAATATTTTCAATCCTCCTTTTGAAAATGTAAGGTATCAGTCGATCTGCAATGGTGTAACTTAAAAAACAAAAACCCACAGTAAAACCATACATGCCTATTTAAAACCTCAACAATACAGTCCACTACAACATTACACACAGAAAACATAGTCATGTATTTGGAGCACAAAACAATTATTTCCACTCACTTTTTCAAGTTCCCTAGTAATAAAATACTCTGTTAATTTCCTGAAGTTTCACGGCATATATTCAGGGTTTTGGAGGGTTAAAATTTTTTTTTTTCTCAAGCAAGAGATTTGCTAATGTTTTTAGATGCTGAAGCATCTGTATTCCTGACTTTGCCCACATTCATAACAGGGAGGGAGGCTGCGAATATTCAAGATTACCAACTTCTTTAATGCATTACTCGGATATGTAAAGGTCTTCCTGAAACTTTTGGATCTAAAATCTCTTCTGAAATCCACAAAGAGAGGCCACTAAAAATCAGTTGCCATTGTGATTTGGTACTGACTACAGCTTCTTACTATTCTTTCTTCACACCCCTCGCCCAGAGCAGTGGAGCTCTCCGAAGTCCCAATGCTGGACAGGAAAAGAGAAGCCAAAGGAGATCTCAAATCCTCTTTACAAGGCAGGAGGCGGCGGCTCGACGGAAGCGCCCCCAGCTCCTCAGCAACTACCCACACGTCAGGCCCGGATCCCACTTGGAGAGGATATTTAGGAAAAGAGAAATAAGCCGTCGCCGTCACTCCGCGCGGATACCCGCCCTTCTCGCCAGGATCTCGTACCTGCCGCCGGCCCTCGCCCATCCGCAGCTCTCCCTGGCGGGGCTCGGCCCCCGAAAGGGCACCCGCTTCTCCTTGCCCACTTCTCATTCCTATAGGCGCCGGGGCCTCTCGTAGGCGAGGCAGCGGGGCTCGAGGGGCTTCCCACAGGCCCCAAGTCCGCTCTTCCCTCCCAAACAACATCCCGCCGAGCGCGCCCTGGCCCCTGGGCGCGGCGCTCGGCAAGAGGGCCCCAGGCCTGCCTCCCGCCGAAGCCAAGAAGAAAAGGGAGGGAAAGAAGGGCGAAGATGGGGCCTGCCTTGGAGCCAAGTACCTTGTAGAAAGCGCCATTGGAGCCCCGCACTTCCACCACCAGCTCCTCCATCTTCTCGTCGGCCCTGCTCGCGCCGGGAGCCCGCCCCCGAGAGGTGGGCTGCGGGCGCTCGAGGCCCAGCCGCC